CTCCTAATGATCTTCAAAGATTATTTTGATAATTTTACACCTATTGACAATGGACACATGATAAAAATATGATAATTTTAGCGCAAACAGGGGTCAATAAAATTGGCAAAATTAATGTAGAATTTTATCCCCCCACTCCAGAGGGTTAAAAGGTAGTTACAGAAAGGGTATCACTCTAGTATGCCGAGTACATTAGCACCTGATCCAATCAGGGTTCAGCCATGTGTTTGGTGTCTATTCTAAACCAATAGAAATTGCATGGCGGTAACATCTATCTTTCTATAGCTTACTATCCAATAAGAGATAAATCCTTATATCGGCGCTATAACAGTAAATGTAAATATTTACTTTTACTAAAACTATACTGGGTAAAGAGAGCTGTTTTTAAATATATATATCTAATATTATTTTATCTATTTTTTATTTTCAAAAGTTTTGCTCTAAATCATATTTCCACGGAACTTTTCCAGACTTTACACATACTTTAAAGAATCTGTATAAAACAACCCTTTTTATAATTCTTCATTTCTTATCCAGGGGCCCGGGTCTATCAATTATAAGATGTAAGGAAATAAGGATGGACCTAGAGAGGAGTGCTTTGATAAGAACAGTCGACATAATTTTAAGTGTCATGACCGATTCACATCAGTATCCTTTAAACCTTTGTCTGTGCAAAGAAAATGGGCTATCCTTTTTTCCGATCTGAAATTTGATAATTTAGAATGTGGAAATGTGGAAAAATATTGCCTTGAGGTGATATGCAGCAGAACAATGAAAGAAAATTAACAGGATTCGTCATTTTTTTGGCAAAAAACGTTGATAACTTGTTTCTCAGATACAGGTGTAAAAGGTTATCGTTATCAACTGTGCCAGCAACTGATTTACTGTCTTAGCAGTCTTAACTTTCCTAAAAAACAAACTGATCGCTTCCTTTATGACAGAAAAAACTGAAAACAAAGCAAACCCTTATTTTTCTACAAATAAAGGCTCGTTGGTTTCGAAACAAAACGAAACGAAAATTTGAAAATTTAAAATTTAAAATTTAAAATTGCTAACGCTGGAAAGGAAGCAAATTAATGGACATATTTACAAATGAACTAGAGCTAGAAATTACCTTGTTATATAAGAAACCCTATCATATCATTGTGTTCGTAGTATTTAACTTACAGCTACAAACATTTTCCTCTACATTGTGAGGATAATATTAAATATATTGAAAAAAGTATCTAACATTTTTTTGTAATTTCTAACAACATTTTAATATTTTTAAATTGCTCTTTATGAGTTCCGATATTAAGCAAAAAAGGTTCGGATGCAGGTTGGAATTTCTCACTTATTTAATTTATGAATAACTAGTTGAAGGGCCCGGCGTTGCCCGAGGAAAAAAATGTGAAAAAAATAGATTTTTTTAGCCTTTAACACCCCCCGGCCAACCATAAGTGTCCACAAAAAATGTCAGCCCATTCGGTCCAGCCTTTTGACCGGCTACTATACTAAACTATAAACGTATACTGACACTATGATTTTTAAGCTTGAAATCTGGTTTTCTTTAGTTTTATTTCGGTGATTAAGCCTTTCCTTTTTTCCTCTCCTGTAATATTTATAACTTTTAAAACTTCATCTTCACGAAATGTAATTAACGTGACCTCATTGTGGCGTGTATAAGATTTTTCTACAACAAATGTTTTAAAATAAGGATAATTACCAAGGATAAAAAATATGTTCTTTTAGATAATTCAGCTAATCAGCTTCAGTTAGGTCTAGGATGCTGAAGCTACTGTTCCTCACTTTTCTTGTTCTAGCATTGCAAGCACTTGTTGCTGCAGAAAGTAAGAATTTATGAAAACTCTTTATCATTGTTTTCTTTTTTGTTGATTTATCAAATTAAAATTAACAAAGTTATGGAAGTTAATTTTTGTTTTATTTAGAAATTTGGTGAAACATTTCTAATAATTTTAATCAAAACTAAAATTAGTTCATCCAAAAATAATTGTGCAAATATAAAGTTTTATTCTTTAAAGATCAAAATTGTTTAAAATACTACTCTGGCAGTAGTTTGCCTTAAACTAATATCTTCATATTTGTCTCTGTAACTGTAACTCCTGTAACTTTTGTGTTTAGCTCCTACAAATGATGAAATAGCTTCCTTTATTCCGTTGGGGAACTTGGAAAATCGTTCAGCAAGAGTTTTACGGGATGCCAAGACATCAAGCGAAGATAGCACAAATACAGAGAAGAAGAAAAACAAGAAGAAGGAGAAGAAGAGGCAATACAAGAAAAGCAAAAAAGCAAAAAAGGCCAAGAAAAATCTTAAAAAGCGAAAAAGTGGACAGTTAAAAAAATCAAGAAAACAAAAATCTCTAAAGGAAAATAATTCAAGGCAGGCTGGCTGCACTTCAGATGAAGCGTGTCTTACAGCAGTTGTAAAATTTATGAAAATAGCCACGGATAAAGTAGGGAATTATGTGAGACAGAAGAGCAGAATTGAAAAATATCAGAAGCTGGCAATCAGCAAGGGATCTAAAAAGTCTGAGTTCAGTCCCCTTCTGGTTAAACTGAAAGAGATTGGTGGGGGTAATTTCAGTGCCCTTACTTGCGGTGGAAGCACTACATCTCCAGCTGCTCAACGATTGCAATTATTAGCTCAGAGTTTAGCTGCTTGTGAAGCTAATATTCAGCAAGCTTGTGTTTCCAGTGTGCCTTCCTTTGATGCAACTGCTGCTACCTCATGCATGGCTGATATGGACGCATTTAATGCAGCAATAGCCTTATGTTTTACATCAACCTCAGCATGTACATGTTGGAACGATGCTAATCTAGAAACCCTAGCTAATAAGTTAACAGCATGTAACCTTGCAACATCAAATAATGAGTTTACAAAGACCAAAAATACATGTACTAGTGCCTTTGGTGCTTGTAGATCCCTACAGGACGAGGCATCACAAGCTATTGATAATTGTCAGAAATCAGTTGCTGCAGTTGAAGCTAAAATAGCTTCCGTTACCAAAACTAAAGACGCTTTAGTTTCCCTGAAAGCTGGAGCAACTGCCATAGCTAACCAAGCACGTCAATCTAGAACCTTACGAAGCATAATGAGCAAGGCAATTTCTTGTTCTGACTATGTGTCATCTATAAAGACTGCTGTGATTAATGCAGAAATAAACCCATCTTCGGCAGATTCCAGTACAGCAATAACTGCTTTGGTCAATCAAAATGTTGCTGGTTGTACTGCAGATGAAAAAACTAGTCTGAAATCTTTATTAACAACTATGGATTCCACTATTGCAAAAATTGATGGTTATCTTAATGCTCTCAAAAGTGATTTAGTAGGTAAATATCAAATTTCTCATTTGTTGATGCTAGTTTTCTTATATTTTCTTTTTCCAGCTTTGAACACTGTCCCTACCACTACACCATCCACAGCAGCAGTCACTGTAACATCAAACACAAGTAATTCAGGAGCAACAGGTCAAGTTAATTGTTCTCAAACTAAACTATTTGAAGCTTTCATGGTGGTGGACTTTTGTTTGGGTTTAAACTTTCAGAAAGAAATGTTTAATGGAAGACCTGATGATATAAATGGTATGGTGAGAATAAGGTGATCATATTGATAAAATAGTAAAAAACATTATTACAGTTTTGATTAATTAGATTTTAGATAACCATACAAAATAACCTCTTTCCCTTATTGCTCTTGTTCTTGGAGTAAAGAAAAAGATGACATTTAAAGCCAGGTATGTTTCTATTCTAAAATTCTGATTTATAAAAATATCTCTCTTAATTCAGGCAGTCTACTCGACTCAAGTCCAATATCTAGCATTGTGTATCTTTGATATCTCTCCCTCGAATATTCTACAAGCCTGCTCCTGGAGCTGAGCACTGCAGCAAAACAGAGATATGGTTTCTAACATGTCTGAGATGAATGTGAATTTAGAGAATTTATACATTGTTATTTTATCTCTTATGTTTTAATTAATAAAGATGCATATACTTAACTGTTAAAAATATGCCATATATTAAATGTACTAACCTGCATTACCCTCTTCAAATATGCCATATATTAAATGTACTAAACTGCATTACCCTCTTCAAATATGCCATATATTAAATGTACTAACCTGCATTACCCTCTTCAAATATGGGTATTTAATTAAAAGAATACTAACAAACTCCTCTTTTTGAAGCTAACTTGAATACCTAACTCATTAAATATATCCCAAAGCATGATAAAGTTAAGACTAATTTAAAACTTTTTCGAAAATTAACTTTCAAAAGATTTAAGTTGCGCAACGTTTAAACTTTATAGACCTGCCACCGAACTTAAGGAATTTGAGCCAGGTCACTGAACTACCTATACCGGCACAAATACTGAATCATTGATTCAAAGCTAAATGTTCATGAGGATATGAATCGGTAATTCAGGGTTTGAGCTGGTGGTAGGTATGGTTCATGCAGGGGCGGACTAAAGGGGGGGGGCAGCGGGCTGGGCCCACGGGTCCAACCATGAGCTCCTGGAGGTGGGCGGGCCCCCTCTAAGGAAATAAAACATCAAAGGATAAAGAAAAAATAGAATTGAATAAATGACCTGAAATACCCGTTAAAATTGTTTTCTCATCTTATTATTTACACTAATATGTCTTTAAAATTACAGATAGAAAGTGTACAAACGTAAAAAACTCGAAAATTGTCATGTTTGTTCGTGTTTTGTTTTTCCTTTTATCTTAAATTATCAGACATCAAAGTTTTGCCCTCAGAGCTGATATCCGTGGAATATAGGGAGTGTCTGGCGAGTCTGGCTTGACATGGTAGTTGAGCTGAGAATTTGATTTTGTAAAGAAATTTTTTAGGATTCATGTGACACCTGTCAGACGTTTTACGGTGCATATTTGTTGAGCAAGAGAACAAATTCAATTGAATAGTTAAAAAAAAGATTCTCAAAATCATCCCTCCAAAATGGATATTCTATGAGGATTTTAAAGATTGAATTTGCGCTCTTGCTGAACAAATATGCATCGTAAAAACATCTGAAAGGTCTAAAATAAATCCTAAAAAATATTTCTATAAAACTGCATTCTCAGCTCAACTACAGTGTCTAGCAAGACACTACTTTTAAACAGAAATCCGGGTTTTTTGACGTCCGCAGGATTTATTTCCACTTTTTGATGTCCCGGGGTTTTTAACGCTATCTCTAAAGTTTCAACCTCTAGCAACTAAAACATGAAGACCTACAAATCATAGAATAAGAAGACTTTTGTTCAATGAATTTAAAATCCCACAAAATAAACAATTTTGCTACTTGTGTTTTAGAACTTTTTTAATATATTATTAAATTTGTTGTTTGCAAACCAAAGTTTGAAGTTCGTCTGGAGTATTTAATAGAATTTTAATGAATCTCTGGGTTAGTCAACCTTAGAGTCTGATAAGAAAGGCTTAGAACTAAAGTTTATCCTCCCCCCCCCCCTCTCCCCACTGTAAACTGAAATTCCCTTTTTCATACATTTGCTGATCCCAGTGTAGGTAGATAGCTGGTAAGAAGTATTTTACAACGTTTGTGAGAAGTAAACAATTTCTAAAACCAAGCTAAAAGCATATCCCGCAGCAAACAGAAAAACAGAGGTTACTACTTCAAATATATATACTCTATTTATTTTATAACCTCTATTGTCTACGCAGCATTTGGTGTCAGCTAAATTTAAACTCCGCAGCAGTACGTTTGTTGTTAGTGTCAACATTAACACTGTTTTTTTCCAGCGGCGTATTTTCAACAACACTTTTACTGTACAGTGAAAACAAAAAAACGCTGGAATAGGACGACGACTATTAGAGAACTTATGACTTTAAATAGACCTTTTAATATGAGATACAAAAATTGTGCAGTGTAAACAGACCCATTTTACTTATTAAGTTCTTTAATAAGTTATTAGTAAACTATTTGCTTTCTAACAACATCGAATACACTTTGCAGTTGTCTTCCATTTAACAGTTTACTGGTAATCACTATAGTATTCCCCTTTAAACAAGCAATTTCGTCAAATCTTCGTCTGAATTTTTTGTTCATTAAATATTTACAAATTTTCCTGGTTATTGATATGTCCATTATATACATATTTACTTCTGTAATATATATATATACATAAATGGGGGAAAATACTAAGGTTGTAGGAAATGTAAAAAAGCTGGAGACAGAACAATCTGAGCTGATGGATAACCCATGTGGGAGACCGATTAATCTACTGTACCCCCCCCCCCCCCCCTAGCTAAAAGCAAACGTAACAACATAAAATAATTCCTGATGAATTTTAAAATTATTCAAATATTTTGTAACATTTTGATATTTTTCTTGTTAAGTTTTGTAACCTTGGCTTGTAAACTATCATTACGCCAGTTATAAATCCTTCAATTATCCCTTTATTTGCTGAAATTGTTAAATATTACCTGTGTGGTGTTCTAAAAAATAATAGTAATTATGAAATCATTTTTGCATTATAAATGAAATAGAAATTTATAAAGTTATCCAAAGTGTAAACTAATGAATGCCTAAGTTGTGAGTTTATAGTTTAAGTTGTAGTTAACTTAAATTAACGTGTTTAAACTAAATTCTATCCTTTCTCAATTTAACCCTTTCTTGAATTCGCGAAATATTAGAACCAGGGGGGCGTAGGGTAGATGTTATCGTTTCGCACGCGTAGCGCATCGATTTTTTTTACTCCCCTCCCCCCTCCTAGTAATGTTTAACCCCCTTCCCCTAGACCATGTACAACCCCATTCATGATGTATATCAAATTATAGGTTTTAGCTGGGTTTTATTTCAATTTCCCAATCATTTCTGGTATTAACGTTATAACAAACTCTATCAAATAAAAGGCTTCCTTTCCGCTTTCACTAATGGTTCTCCACTATAAATGAAGACTTTTTAAACAGCTTATAAAATAGCAAATCCACCAATATGAAAAATTCGCGATAATCAGACACCTGTGCCCTGAGAACAAATAAGTTGCAGTGTTCTGAAGAATATTCACCATGAAAGAAGACTAAAGACATGAGAGAGGAGTGGATGAAAACGCTTTTTGGTAGGTTCTACATCAAAAACTACCATGCCAATTATAATTGATATTTTCCTCTGAAAATTAAAAGCATTACTAGAATTTTTTTGTATACATGCACAGAGACTGCCTTTGGAGCTAGTGTTTCTCATGAAATGTGTCTTAAGTCAAAATCCATCACCTAGCGTAAATTTAAAACTGATGAGTAAGAGCGTTTTTCTAAAGTCTCTATTTATAGTGGACAGCTTTATGATAATTCACTAGTTACATTGACTACATTTATTCTAGATTTATTTCAATCCGTGTGCATATATTATAAATATATAGGTATATATNGACATAAAGTGCAAGTATGCTATTTATTCTGTAAAAAAATGGATTTATTTCAATTACGGAAGAGCTTTACACCTAATTTGACATATAGTGCAAGTACGCTACTGCATTAAAAAATAGATTTTTATGTTACTTTGTTAAAGTTGATTGAGTAAAATGATTTTCGCGAGCGAACGAAATGCGAAGAAATGAGAAATTTTCGCGAAACAATTTTTCATGTTTGCTGCAAACCCTAATCGCAAGAGAAAACTGAACTATATCAAACTTTTCAAATGAGTAAACTTTTATCCTATCTTTGTTTTAAGCTGTAGTCAATAAACATTGATGGAAGTTTATAAGTAAACTTGAATTCACAATAAAAGTTCATTGCGTGAATGCAGAGAATAAATGTATAAAGTATCAAGTTTATCGTTTTTTCCAAAACCATGGAATTCTTATCAATAGCCTGAGGTAAATTTGATTTGTCACGTTTAATCAAATTAATATAATAATTTTTTTTTTACTTTGTAAAGAAAGGCATTCTTTACTATTTTTTTACCCAACATTTTTCTTATACATATATTCTTATATATTCGCATATTTATAAATATTTGCAAAAAGTGAAATTTCTGATTCTCAATTTTCCCAAATTGATTCGATATAACACAATACATAGTTTGAAATATCTAAGGTCTACGACATTGGGTTGCAAAGATGTAGGAATTAGAAAATCAGAGTTTGTGGAAAGATTCAATTCCTTTGGCTCTACTTTGGGCAAAACGTATTTTCTTTAACATCTTGTCTGAAGAATGAAGGATGTTTAATAACAGTCAAACCAGTTATATTAGCTTAGCTACCACTTTGACAAACTCCGTTCTTAGCAAATATTAATCACATTCTTTTTCATTAAAACATCTTAAGCAGAGCTGTAGGAGGCCTCTTCAAAAGCTAGCTTCATGAATCATCCATTTGAAGTACACAGTAAAATCTCAGGCATAAGGTCAGATATTTGTTGAGAAAATTCTTTGCTAAAAAAATTTGCAATTGAAAACTTGAATTCTTTTAAAAACTTATTATTCCGGTACACTTTGTTTTAAATTCAGCTGAAGGTTTTGAAATTCAAAATTCTACAAAGATTGTTTTCCATTTGTCGGAAAGTTTTTGTATTTTATTAGTTTTATCAAGCTGAGGGCCTCCAGGGCTTCCTGCTCAGTTTGAAAAGCTAAAAACAACAACCTATAAAAACAAATTGAATTGTTGAAGCAGAAAATAAATCTGATTCTTCGGTTCTTTTTGATTTTTACCCTTAAGTAGGATTCTTTGATTAACATGTTTGTCAGAAGGTCAAAATACATATTTCAATAGTTAGAGGAACCACCAAATTTTTAGAGGCAGAGCAAATTCTAACGACTTTTTTAACATTAACACCATTAGAAATTATCCTGACAATTTTTGTCCCGAAATTTAAATTTACCGCAAACATTTTGAACTTAAGTTCGAACAATAAATAAGTAGTTTTTCCAACAGTGCAAATATACTGTACATAAAGACACTTTGAAAGTCGTCTTCGTTCCAATAAAAATTTGTCACGATTTCTCCCGGAATCTCCTTCTCTAAAATTTTAACAGAAATATTGATAT